ACACAAAAGAGACAATCAACCATCCACACTCTGTCACACCTGGAGTCACACAGAAGAGCTCCAGAAGGTTTTAAACTGGGAACTCTGGACTCAGATCATCTGCTGCACACATTTCTGATCACTTGTTATCAATAATCATTTTATTGATAATTTTCATGAGGAGTCCTTAACTAGGATGTAGTTAGGCAATTAAATATTCATGTATGTGCAAATTTATTACTATAATAGCAGGTGAGTCACGTAAATTTATGTTTTTATATAACAAGTAGCCCCACCCCAAGACCAATTTCCTAGGGGAAACACTGAGATGTGAAGTGATAGTAATCTGAATCATAACAGCTACTTTATATTGACAGAACAGTGTATCCTCAATTATTTCAGAAAACAAATATTTAAGATAAATCTTCATAAGAAGAACATGAAGCAAAAATAAATACCCAATTGATTCCATCAAAAAATGAGTAAAGCCTTGTTTTAAGTGGGGTTGTGTAGAGTAGTTGTAAGCAGTGCGTGTGTTAACTTCAGCAGATGGCAGTCAGAGGGGGAAGGAGCGACTGCTCTTCTTCTGAATAAATGAAAACTATGCTACACAGTCATTTACAGGGTTCATGCAGGTATCAGTAAGTTAAAGTTAAGACCTTTTAAAGACCTTTTAAGACCATCAGGAATGACATTTAAGACCAAAGTGACACATTAACGGGAACAGTCAAATGGTCACTGAAATTTTAACATGAAAACCTTTTATTGCTATCAATGTAGCTATTAAAGAATATTTAATTTTAATACAAGAACACCAAATTGTTTTAATGAAACAACCATATTTATGAGACCTTCATATCGACTCCCGTGGACTGTTTCCAAACAAGTGCAAAAATCATATCAAGCCAAGTCTCATTGAAAATACACTGTATGAACTTCTTTGTTTTTTGGGCAGGTCAACAAGTTGCGTATCCAGGGGGTTGTAGCGGCAAAGAGGTCAAAAACATGGAAGTAAATTGTCATTTTTTGTCTGCAGTTATTGCAGAATTTGTAGTTTAACAATGAACCAAGACTGATAGAAAACTTAGCACTTATGAAGTCATATCGCGCCAACCTATGATTACTGTACTTTACACTGTTTATTTATGCAGCCAACACTTTGCAGGAATGATCAAAAGTAAAAAAAATTAAGACATGACAAAATTAAATTTAAGACCTTGTATGAAAATCTGGGTGTTTTTAATACTTTTTTAGGCCTAAAACTTTGATTTTCAAATTTTAGACTTTTTAAGACCCTGCATGAACCCTGTGTTTACACTTAAATTAAAAATATTTAACAAAGGAAAACCAGAGCAGGACTAGAGATGAATATGATTTAGATTTTTATTTCTTTGGCTGTATACGACCCACAGGAAACACGGCATTAACAGCAGTCATCATTTCATTCTTTTAATTCCACAGCTGACGCTGCTAAATATAACAGATTTTCTTTTCTGGATCTCTGAGAGCAGGACTACAATCTCTGAACTTGTAAAGTTCTTTTTACTTTGTGATGTCATTTATGAATGGACACTTCCTGGTGTGTGGGGCAGGAAACGTAGCGTTATATGGTGTTTTAGGGTGGTAATTATGCTAATCTCCTCTCCCTGTGCACGAGCACCTGATACGCATTCATTAGTTTACGCTGCTCATTTATGCACTCTTCCGCAAGATAGAGTTTGTTGAATCTGACATGTCATGCTTGTATGAGCCCTTCGTATGAACAAAAGTAAGAGAAATTTAGGATAAGAAAATGAAAATATTCTTGCATGAGGCCCAATGTCTGTTTGAACAATAAGGGAAAACCTCTTATGAAGTCAAGCTAAATGCTTGCTGGGCCAATTTTAGAGGAATATTTTTGCCATCTAAAACAAATAAAAACTTTTCTAGCAATATAAAAAAAAATGCCATATTAGATATTTAAAATCACTTTTGAATGTGATTGAATGAAATGTAATATAATACAACTTTCCCATGGACCAAAGAAGCCCCCAATCAAATTTTGGTTTTAGGGTGTATTCACACCTGATAAATATGGTCCACTTTAAACGGACCAGTTTGTTTCCCCCATTGGTCCAGACCTTTTATGCAGGTGTGAGTACACTCATGCGAAACATAGTGCGACCCAAACGACCAGACTGAGACCCACTTTTTGAAGTGATTTCAGTCCGCTTCCAAACAAACTATGGTGCGCTTCACTCATCCATCCATCCATCCATTTTCTTCCTCCTATCCCGGGTCGGGTCGCGGGGGCAGCAGCTTCAGAAGGGAGGCCCAGACCTCCCTTTCTCCAGCTACTTCTTCCAGCTCCTCCGGGGGAACTCCAAGGCGTTCCCAGGCCAGCCGAGAGACATTGTCCCTCCAGCGTGTCCTGGGTCTTCCTCAGGGCCTCCTCCCGGTGGGACATGCCCGGAACACCTTACCAGGGAGGCTGAGCCACCTCAACTGGCTCCTCTCGACGTGGAGGAGCAGCGGCTCTACTCTGAGTCCCTCCCGGATGATCGAGCTTCTCACCCTATCTCTAAGGGAGAGYCCAGCCACCCTGCGGAGGAAACCCATTTCGGCCGCTTGTATCCGGGACCTCATTCTTTCGGTCATGACCCAAAGCTCATGACCATAGATGAGGGTAGGAACGTAGATCGACCGGTAAATCGAGAGCTTCGCTTTCTGACTCAGCTCTCTCTTCACCACGACGGACCGGTACAGCGCACGCTTTACAGCAGACGCTGTGCCAATCCGCCTGTCGATCTCCCGCTCCTTTCTTCCCCCATTCGTGAACAAGATCCCCAGATACTTAAACTCCTCCACTTGAGGCAGGACGACCCCCCTGACCCGGAGAAGGCACTCTACCCTTTTCCGGCTTAAGACCAAGGCCTCGGATTAGGAGGCACTGAGCCTCATCCCGGCTGCTTCGCACTCGGCCGCGAACCGCTCCAGTGAGAGCTGCAGATCACGTTCCGATGAAGCCAACAGGACCACATCATCCGCAAAAAGCAGAGATGCGATCCTAAGGCCACCAAAAGGGATCCCCTCAACACCTCGGCTGCGCCTAGAAATTCTGTCCATGAAAGTAATGAACAGAATCGTGACAAAGGGCAGCCTTGGCGGAGTCCAACTCTCACCAGAAACGAGCCCGACTTACTGCTGGTAATGTGGACCAGACTCTGACATCGGTCGTACAAGGACCTGACAGCCCGTATCAAAGGGCCCAGTACCCCATACTTCCGGATAACCCCCCCACAGGGCCCCCCTTGGGACACGGTCGAACGCCTTCTCCAAGTCCACAAAACACATGTAGACCGGTTGGGCGAACTCCCATGCACCCTCCAGGACCCTGTTGAGGGTGTAGAGTTGGTCCATGGTGCGCTTCACTTCTGGTGTAAATAAAGACCATCCCCGACCCAAACCTACTACAGAAAATATACGCTTTTTTGGACTTCACAAGCCACAGTTGCTAAAGCATCATGGTAAAAATAAGACCTTCAGTATTGCTAACGCTACAACTACGCTACAAACAATGAGCCGTTGTGGGTCAGGGCATGCAGAGCATCTTGTCTTCTTTAGATTGCAGCAAACATTTGACAATGCCGTACTAAAATTAGAAGTATATAATTGTGAAACCGTTGTTGAATGAGCTGCTTTTGAAATTCTAAATGGTATTGCAGTTGTACTAACAGCACCATCTAGCTTATTGAGTCTGTGCTCTGTCCCGCCCTCATCATTTCTGTCCAATGATAGCATGGCTTTGTTTATAAATTATAGTCCACTTGCAAAAAGGCACAATGTGACTGCAAACTGCAGCAAGTCCGATTTTGGTCTGAACCAAACTAGTTGACCAAAGGAGTGTGAATATACCCTTACTCTTTTTTGCCAGGGCTAGCTTGTACATTTGGAAGGATGTAAAAAATAAGTGGTGGCACAGAGGAACAGTGGTTAGAGATGTTTGCTTCTGAGCAAAAAGGTTGCAGGATCGCCTCCCAGCTTGTCTGTGGGGATTTTGCACGTTCTCTTCATGCATGCAGGTTTGTTTTTTCCCTAGGTACTCTTGTTTCCTCTCACAGACCAAAAACACGCATGTTATTATTATTCCTGTAGGGCCCCATATCAAAAGATCCATGGACTTGTTCTGGACCTTGACTAGTGATTGGGGTCCAATGAGGTGCAGGACTGAATAGGAGAAATTGAACATTAATTTACAGTTTTTTTTCTGCACAAGGAGGCAAAGCAGCGCATTCTGTTGATCAGTTACAAACGAGGAAAAAGTTTAAAAAGTAAAACTTTTTCATCGTCACATTCTCTTTAACTTGTGTGAAAATATTTGGTCCTCAGGTCAGATTCAAGCAGGAATGCAGAAAATGCTGAAAGCTTCACCGCGCCCATGGATGGATGAATAGATAAAATGAAATTAGTCAAACACACTGTTGCATTACAATTTGTTTACTTACAGCTCTCGGAGGCTCGTGAGACGATCTAACAGGCTGGTATCGAGGGAGGAGATGTGGTTCTTGGACAGATCTCTGTGGGAATAAAGCAACAAAACCACATTTAAAATGAATGTGAGGAAAAATAAAATGCATATACTCACTTTGTGTTACACAAGATCATTGTATGTTAAAGAAAATATAATTATTGACGTGAGCGTTAAAAGATCTGAAAAATGACATGGATTACCAGCAAAGAGTTAAGTTTAGGGTCATAAATAGCACAGACAGGAGTTATAGGTAAAAAATAGGAATGAACCGTTATGAAAATTTCAGCCGATATCGATATCCGATATTATTATTGGTGTTAGAACCAATAATTGATATTTACCGATATTACACAAACACATAAATTAATTATATAGGTATACACACTTGTGTCTTTTTACAATACGGTAAATGATCAGACCTGACGTGGCTCTCTACTTCAGATTTTCCTGGCTGCACAGCGTCATTATCACTATCATGATAAAACAGATACCATTCAGCCAACCAATTCCCTTCCAAAACAGAAACACAAAGCTAAAAAGTGGGAAATCAATATTGGATGTTAATATCAGCCCTGTTTTACTTCTCGGACCCATACTGATGTTAATGTCGATATGCAGTGCATCACTAGTAAAACGGTTTTAAAGGGATCCCCGATTAGTTGTAACATTAGACTTTATTTGATAAGCATATACTTTAACTGTAAAATAAAGACTGTAAAAATACTGTAGTCCTTAGTTTTCCTTTGGCTCTGTCCAAAACAAAAGTGTTTTCAAATGAAATTTATAAACATCACGAGTTGAAGATTGTTCGATGTGCAGGGCCTGATCAACTCTGTAGACCAGTCTGGACTGTGGGACAACCAGAAACAAATGATCATTGGATCTGAGAGATCTGGGAGGCACATAGGGCTGCAGGAGTTCAGACAAGTATACAGGGGCCAGTTCATTCAGAGCCTTGTAGGTCGTCAATAAAACTTTAAAATAAATTCTAAAATGAACAGTGAACAAATGAAGGGAAGCCAGCACCGGGGAGATATGATTGCACATTTTTGCTCATGTTAAAAGACGAGTTGCAGTGTTTTGAACTAGGTGAGAGGCCAGCCTGGCTAACACCAACATATAAAGAGTTACAATAATCCAACTGAAATGTAGATTAAAGCATGAATCACTCATTCAAAGTCTTTGAAGGGTAAAAATGATTTAACTTCAGATACAATTCTCAGTTTAAAAAAAAATCTTTTTACTACGGAACTAATCTGTTTCTCAAATCAAATTTCACCCCCAAAATTTTTGACAAGATTTTACAGACGGCTCTAAGGTACCTAGATCTATGGGAGAAGCATGGTGACGAACAATGGATCCAAAAATAATAATTCAATTTTATTGTTGTTGGAATTTAAAAAGCTTGAAACCATCCAAGCTTTTACCTCAGTGAGGTAGTCAAACAGTGGTTTTAAATACAAGACATGAAGTTAAAAACAATAGGAGTGTCTGAAGTTTTTTTTTCATTAATGGTATTTCATTATCTTTTCTCTCAAAGTAATTTTGGTCATTCACCTGACATGAGCCCTTATCATCAGTAACTGTAGAAATACAGCAGATTCTTTTCCACAGGAGTCATGCTGCTCAGAGGCCATTATCCTGCATGTTTTAGATGTCTTCTTCTTCAAGCACACCTGATTCAAATGACTGGGTGATTAGCAGGTGGCTGCAGGACTTAATAAATGCCAAAACAGGTGTGTTGAAGCAGAGAACTGATCAGAACAGTAGAACCCTTGGACTGGAGTTGGGTACCATTGGCCGGTCAGCTTAGAGATATGTTTAATTAGACCTGAATAAAACAGCAGCAGCCATCATGGTCACAGGACATTTGGATCCAAATACAAGCTGGCACAAGCAAGGAGCTTGAATTAAACAAAAATAAACTTAGCACAAAAAGTAAGGGAATTTGTTTGAATATGTTTCTTTGTTGTAATAATGCTTCCAGGCAATAAATCTTGTATAAATCTTATCTTTGGAAAGTCTGTTAATTTCTCTTTTAAATGGTGCCACATTTGTAAGGAACATGCATTTATGGGATGAGCAGAAGATCTAAGTATGTGATTTGCGCACATTAACAAATTGCCAAACAAAACAAAAAGCTGACATGGCAGCAAGCCTTGCAAATTCACAAGAGGTGTATGAAAGGGACCAAGATGGTAGAAACCAATGGAAGGCAGAAAGGAACTGAATATTACGGCTGTGTCTCAGTTCAGGGGCAGCAGTCCACACAGTGTGCATTTGTAGGCAGGTTACGTCACTACCCCACGCCGTAGGCTGTCCCATTTCATGGACTATTTCTCATGCGAACAACAAAACCCAGAAAACATAGGTTGCCTCTGAGTCTCCTATGCAGCCAATGACATCCCAGGATTCATTGCGCCATCAACAAACTAAACAGGAGAACGAAGATGGCAGAGGACAGCCATAGAGCTAAGAGTGAGTGGGAGATTGGCTGCAGCTGGGACTAAAGAGAAAAAGAGGAAAAGGTAAAGTGGGCGGGGCAAGCTGACTGAGGGTGAAGAAGAGTTGACAGGGACCACACACAAGCTAAACAGGAAGTAGCACAAACATTGATACATATTACTGGATTGGGCGTCACGTGACCTGGGCGTGCTTCGCAAGGGGGGATTTTTATGCATTGAGCTAATGCTAATGCTAACCATTGAAATCAATGAGCAGAACGTAGCGATGTGCAAACAAACACTTTATAAATGTATAAATGGTTTAAATACTTTGCTATAAAATGCAGAAATTGTTCCAACATGTTTACAAGAGCTAAAAGAGTTGTTTCACTGGTAAATATTACACATATTTAAGCAAAATTAATTATTTTAATGTTAAAACCTGTATGCTAACACTAAAAAGCTTCAGAGTTCATGTTTAACCTTACTTAAAATCGATTTTATCTGTTGTCAAATATATTATTTACTGATGTTAAACATGTAAATATGGACTTTATTGGATTGTTGACTAGTTAGACTGCATATAAATTCAGAAATTATGATGTAGACTCACTAGTGACACTAATGTAATGATAGAGCATCATAAACAAAATAGTCCCGTTGTCAGACAGGCCGGTTTATTCAGATATTTTCTACATCCAGTATTTGTGTTTTTCAACATTTCCAGAGAAAAAAGAGGGAAAAGCCATGTGTGCCAGCTGTGGGTCGGCTTCAGACACAGCCTGCATCAATGTGAAACTGAAGACCATTTCTTTTTTAATAAAAATAAATTCATTAAACAATTCTTTGTGACATGAAATAATTTGTATTTTTTTTAGTTTGTTTTTACTGATGTTAAAACTATTGCAGTTTACAGCAAAAACTCAGACGGAGTATATATACAGTGGTGTGAAAAAGTGTTTGCCCCCTTCCTCATTTGCTGGTTTTTTGCATGTTTGTCACACTAAAGTGTTTCGGAACATCAAACCAATTTAAACAATAGTCAAGGACAACACAAGCAAACACAAAATGCAATTTGTAAATGAAGGTGTTTATTATTAAAGGAGAAAAAAATCCAAACCATCATGACCCTGTGTGAAAAAGTGATTGCCCCCTAAACCTAATAACTGGTTGGGCCACCCTTAGCAGCAACAACTGCAACCAAGCGTTTGCGATAACTTTCAATGAGTCTTTTACAGCGTTCTGGAGGAATTTTGGCCCACTCATCTTTGTAGAATTGTTCTAATTCAGTTACATTAGAGGGTTTTCGAGCATGAACGGCCTTTTTAAGGTCATACCACAACATTTCAATAGGATTCAGGTCAGGACTTTGGCTAGGCCACTCCAAAGTCTTCATTTTGTTTTTCTTCAGCCATTCAGTGGTGGACTTACTGGTATGTTTAGGATCATTGTCCTGCTGCAGAACCCAAGTTCGTTTCAGCTTGAGTTCACGAACAGATGGTCGGACATTCTCCTTCAGGATCTTTTGGTAGATAGCAGAATTCATAGTTCCATTTATCACAGCAAGTCTTCATTTTGTTTTTCTTCAGCCATTCAGTGGTAGACTTACTGGTATGTTTAGGATCATTGTCCTGCTGCAGAACCCAAGTTCGTTTCAGCTTGAGTTCACGAACAGATGGTCGGACATTCTCCTTCAGGATCTTTTGGTAGACAGCAGAATTCATAGTTCCATTTATCACAGCAAGTCTTCCAGGTCCTGACGCAGCAAAACAGCCCCAGACCATCACACTACCACCACCATGTTTTACTGTTGGTATATTGGGCCTCATGCAAGAACCGTTCGTACGCACAGATTTGTTCTTAAATTGTGCGTACGAG